AGGGGCACTTGATGGTCCAGAGGGAAAAGGTGCCCAGGCACCACCTGACGTCCATCCTGTGCACGTCCATGGCACTGATCCACTTTGAGCTGCGTCCTGCTCAGATTAGCTCTAAACTCATGGTCAGAACTTTATTTTCAACATATAAGATAATAAAAAATACAAATAAAAGCATAAAAAATACAATTTTATCACTTTTAACCAATACTAATCAGTATGTTTAAGCAACAAAGCAACATGAGCACTACTTTACAGGAAAGTGTTTAAAATGTGAATTGTTAAATGTTTACAAGTATTAAATTTTGTTTTAAAGGTTATCAAGTTGTTTCTGCAGCTTTCTTTGTCATCTGTAAAAACATCAGAATGTGGGATTTAAAAGCTTGTTCTGGTTGTTTTCGTCTTTCTGAGGCAGTTTGACTTGGGATCAGTTGAATTGTTTGCAGCTGGGAGCAGCTTGTTTCTGTTCTGGCAACGAGGAAGAAAAACCTCAAATGTTAACATTACACTCAAGAACCATGTTTAGTTTTTGGTTTTGTTCTGTTTAAACCCTGAAACAGTTACAGATTTTACAAATGACACAGAATGTTACAGTATTTTGACCTTTGAGTTTTGAACAGCGTAGTCCAGCTTGTATCGTGGACGGATCAGGATTGATGGACGTTCAGAGGAGGGACAGCTTTTGGTTGAAGGATGTTAAAGATGCAGCTGCCAGGAAAAATCTAATACTTTTAGTTACTGTTTGTGCAACAGCCTGGTTATATTTAAGGTCTTATTATATTTAAGGTCTTATTCATTAAAAAAAAGCTTTTGAACATTTAAAGTCTACAGGAGTTTATAGAAGGACTCTTACTGTCAGGTTTAACACATCTCTCTGTTGTCTGCAGTCGGATTAAAGTTTTCTCTTCATCACCTCACAAATTCATTTCTGCAGCACAATGTGAAACTGGAGACCCAGAAAACCACAATGTGTAAAAGACACACATCCTGTAGCAGAAGTATTTTAACAAAGATCATATTTGTGGGTGCAGGATGTTCACACTTTCTGTGACAGTTTGTGTCATGGATCACTGAAGTGTGAAACAGCACGAGATGCTTTAATGTTCAGCTTTTTCCCTCGGCTCGTTCAGGTGACGTGTGTGTGTGTGTGTGTGTGTGTGTGTGTGTGTGCGTGCGTGCGTGCGCGCGCGCGCGTGCGTGCGTGCGTGCGTGCGTGCGTGCGTGTGTGTGTGTGTGTGTGTGTGTGTGTGTGTGCAGTGTGTGAGGAGGTGCAGCAGCAGGCGGCTGTTAGTCTGTAATCTGAGAATAACAAGTGCTTTTCAGGATCAGATGTCTGATGTCAGAGATGATAGTTCAGCGTTAGAACTGCCCTCTGTGACACGTTTTCTACTTTTGTTTACTTCAGACTAATGTCAGACATCTCTCCTGCATCCCCTTTCTCTTTTATGAACACTACTGTATAATCAATATCTTACCTGTTGTAGATAGTTCTCTGAATGACCTTACTTTGGAGAAACAGAGTTATCCAGTCTGGACACAGGCTGTTGTTTAATGAATCCTGTGAACAAAGTTCATAAACTCTTTCATTGCTGTAAGTTTAAGGGGAAATACATCTAGTTCTAACATTGCAGTTAAGACTAAGAGTCGAGGCTAAAGGTTTTAGTGTGTGACAACAAATGTATATTTTGTGTTAGTTTCTATCTTCTGCACAATATATGTGTTGAAACGATCAACCATAATTAATAATAAATTATTTCTGGAGCTAACGTCATAAATATTAACTCAGGAGCTCGTGCTATGTGAATTAGCTCTGGTGCTAACGCCATATTTTTCTCTCTTATATTCATTATGTTTTTGTGTATTATTGTATATTTTGACCTGCACTGACCTTGTGTTTGATTTACAATTTTAGAAATTATTTTCTTGATTTGATGTTTCAATTTTTTCGTTGCTTATGTGTAATTATGTTTTTCTGTTTCATTTTAATATTTCCACCATTTTTATACAGTTAATGATTGTACAGCACCTTGTGAATATATTTCTGTGAAAGGTGCTTTATAAATAAAACTTTACTTACTTTATATCAATATACACTGTATTAGCTAAAGCTATATTTATCAGCTCTGGAGCTAACGCCAGATATTGACACCCACACACACACACACACACACACACATTGTGGTGTAAACAACATAGCAACATCTGTCTGACAATATATATTTTAATTTACACAAACTAAAAAGTCTACAGAATTTTTAGTATTTTTTACAGTTGAAGTAAATCTTTATCAAATAATGTTTAATGTTTCAACTGGTTCTCTTTTAAAACGAATGCCCATAAATGCTAGAAAAGCTGTGCTGCCAAAAATAAATTACCGTAAATTTGGGAAAATGTGCACAGGCACGATTTCATTAGGGTCTGATCCAGTTTGTTGTTTACCCCTGGTTTACTTCCTGTCCTTCTCTGACCTTTTCTTATTCGTTTGTTTTGTTTTTCTCTCAGAAACATGGAGGACGCGATAAAGACCGTGGTGATGACGTTTGTTAAATCTGCCAGAGGAAAAGAGAACCTAGACAGTAAATCCTTCAAGAAACTGATCCAGAAGCAGCTCGGGGGCGTCATGGAGGTGAGACCGCACACAACTTTTTATTTTATTATATTTTAGTTTAGTTTAGTTTAAGTTAATTTAATTTTTAATTATTTTATTTTCCATCCATCCATCATCTATACCCACTTATTCCTTTCAGGGTCACTGGTGTCCATATCCAGCAGCCACAGTGCGAGGGGAGGGGGGTACACACTGGACAGGTCGCAGGTCCATTACAGGGCCACACATGAACACAACCATTCACGCTCTCACTTACACCTAGGGTCAATTTAGAGTCACCAATTAACCTAACAGTCATGTTTTTGGTG